AAAAAAAAGTGTAAATACAAATCAGAGAACAGTATGGTAGTGAGTTAGGTTGAAGGGGCATGAGTAACCCACAGGGTCAGTGTTTGAATAACCAAATCTCTTTGTGTTTTTAAGATTTATTTTTATTTATTTATGCATACAAGAGCTGTGGAGTAGGCCAGAAGTGCAGGGGATGAGAGGATTCACCAGAGAGTGGGGAGCAGCAGGTGAGACAGGAGAGGTCTGCTGCGCCATGAGGGTCACCTCCCTGGCCGGGGATCAAACTCATGCCTCATGACTGGTGATAGTTGACAATGCAGAGACTTTAACCCCTATGCTACCAGGGGACCCCCAATGATGACATCTCAAGTAAATTTAGGAGCCACTTTAGACAGAGTATACCATCTAGCTTATTCTTTGTTCTTCCATTCTGGGAGTGCTTTCAGAGTGATGTATACTTATTTCACAAGAATAAATGGGAAATGTGTCCTAGAGTTTCAGTTTCCCAGCAGTCCCAATAACTTGGACGTACACACCTTACTATTTCTTTTCATGGTGGTGGCCGCCACAGCATGCTGTCTCATAGTAGGGTTAATTCACTCAAAAGCATTTAGAATGGGCAATAGGACAATAAAAGGGGGTCAATAAAATTTTCCCCTGAAATAACTAAGTCAACGTTGGAAGACAAACACAAGTGCAACATTATAAAGCAATATATTGTAAAAGAATTATGTACAATATGAGAAGGCTTTTAGGTCTCGGAGAGGGAGTATTTCCTAAAAGAAAGTAATGTCCTGAAAGAAAGGAGGTGAGAAATTGCTCAACCTAATTCAAGCAAATATGTGAAGACTAGTGAAAGGTGCTGGAGGCAAACGACTATACTTTATAACCTCAGCATCACCAACACCACTGGAGCATGCTATCAAGAAGGTATATTTTAAACACTTAAAAGACAGGCTACCTTGGCAGCATTGATGTTTCCAGATTGAACTTTTCTTCCAGATTCACGCTTTGTGTTCTGGCCTAAAATAGGTGAAAACAAAAGGCAATAGCACAGGACTGCTCTGTTTTACTTAACCTACTTATTCTATAACCTTTGAAAAATAACATAGTTTTCACAAGTGATAAACAGATCAAAATTTATCTAAACGGCCACATCAAATGTGGCATATTGTGTTCCCACTATAACTAAAAAAACTGTTAAGAAAGTAAATGAATGTACCTACAGATACTTACTTTAATTCAAACCATTATATTAAGAAAACAACCCATACCTTTTCTTCTTTGGAATAGTAGTCACTGTGTACAGGCTTTATAAATGTAAAACCTGATATTCATTAGTGAGCCTTGGTGGAATAGTGAAGTCCCCAAGATATTAGAAAATGATATTAGAAAATGCATTTTTGTCTTGGAAAAAGATATATAACTACCCTCATATTCTCAAAGGGCTGGTGACCCTAAAAATGCAACTATCAGTACTTTCTATTAAGAGTTTGGGGATTCCTATTTTCTTACTTGGATAGGGTAATCATACCGACAGTTCTAGCATAATTAGTGATAGTGCTCCCCCAGTATGCTATGAAATGACAACACTCTCACTTTAAGTGCCCCATTTTGTAATATACAATAACCCCATGCTCAGCTACAGTAAGGATGTCTTTAATAACACATTCACCATCACTAAGAGTCCTGTACATATTTTAACAGGAAGCCTAACCCATGAGAGCCACTAATGCCAGGGGTTAAGGCAGGCATGAAAAGGGCTTCCCATGTCCCACCACTCAACCCAGGATCCTCTGAACAGAGAAAAGCCAGTTGTTATAACCAAACCAACCCAGGATGCTAAATTCCCTCCTCTCTCCAAATTAAACATCCCCCTACAACTCAAACCTACAAATTTTTAATCCAATCCAAAAACACAACTGCCATTAATTAGATTTCTAATTCGGGCAATTGTCCACAAAACCCTGCACGGAACTGTCTGCGGGGCACACCAGCTCAGGTTTTTTTTTTTTCCAAGGGAATTTCTGGGTACAGCAAACGGTTAATCAGGGTCCTTAGGTCCACAGATGGGATGCATAAGTCACATAAGGAATGGAAACACACCAGGGGAAGACAAGGGAGGTAGTCCTTAGAATGCAATCTGAGCTGTTCCTGTAGGGTGAAGTGAGCCAATAGAGAGATCCGGGAAAACTCTCTTGGTAGCGGGAAACATAACACAGGCGGCACTAAGGGACTAATCATATATCTAAAGGAGACCAATGATGGAAATAAGGTTACTTGTGACCTGGGTGGCTGAAGGGAAATTCAAGACCTAGTACTGGAAGAGACGCCAAGGACACCAGTCGCTGTTTGTCAGGCTCTACTACACAGCTGGCTTACGAGTCTTTTAAGCCCACTGGGCACGCTTCAGTCAAGCAAGAAGGCCGAGGCCCCACCGCTGCTTACGGAACGGCCAAACCACACGCCAGGCCTAACCCAAAAGCCATTATTCATTCGGCCACAAACAGCGAGGAAGGGAGCAGGGGCGGGGGGCGGTGAACGAGATAGCAGGAGGCTCCGCAAGGAGAGTACACGTGAAGACGAGCGGGTCGGCGAGGGGAACGACAGTTTGCGAGACAGGGGACGCGTTAGAGGAGAAGAAAGTGGAAGAGGTTTCCCATGAGAACGAAGCATGGAAAGCTCAGCGGCCGGGGCAGGGCTGGGCTGGGGCAACACTAAAAGGTGTGGCGAGACGAGACGAAAGGGGTCCCTTCCCCTGCTTCCCCACAACTCACTGAGCACGAGCACGGGACGATGGCCCATCATGGCGGCGCGATGTAGTGCCGGGTACCCAGAGCTGAGAGAACCAGCAGAACCTTCTGGAGAGAGAGAACCAAAGAGAAGCCCAGAAAACGCTGCCTCCTCAGGGCTTACACATAAACCCGCTACCTTACGGGTCACCGCCAATCACCGTGCCCACCTCATTGACCGGCAGGAAAACAGGCCAATTGACACCCTTAGCTCCTCCTCCTACGTCAGAACGTCAGGGCAAGTTAGATAGAGAGAGCGCGACGCTAGCAAGGGGAGCGCCGGGCGCTTGCGCAATAGGGAGGCCGCTCCCGGCCGCGTGCGGCGCGAATCTCCGCGCAAGCGCCCCAGCTCGGCAGTTGGCCCGCACGACACTGCGCATGTGTGACAACTGCAAGGGTGGGTGCTGGGATTGAGGCATTAGGTTAACGCCACAGGCGACGTTAGTGAGCTGGCTTGCGCCTCAGTGGCTCCCGGCCGTGACGATCAGAGAGGCGTGGCAACTTCCACTCTTTGCTTCCAGCAATGGGGCGGGCTAGAGGAGAAGAGGAGCGGGACTTCAACGTCGGCTGAAGCAAGACCTGGCCAGTTTGACGCAGGGTGAGATGGGAGTTGTAGTCGGATGGGGGATGGACTGGCCGGTAACCAGCCTTTTTTGGGCACGCTGGGAGTTGTGGTTTTTTGCCTCTGCCCTCGTGGCTGTGTGCGGATCTTTTAGATAAAAGCTTTCTACTCAGGTTGTGAGCAGTACCAGAGGGTGATGGCCTTTCCCGGAGTTATCCTAAATAAAACATTTTCTCAAAAGTTTCTTGTCGTACTTTGAGGTTTTTCTTTCTCCACGCACATCCCCTCTCCTGCCCTTCTCATTCATTCAGCTGCAGGTGCTCTAGATGTGATGGGGAGCCAGAGTTTTAAAATTACTATTCAGGACAGAAAAAAGGACTGATCGGACACAGAATAATTGCCCGTTTGTAAGACACTTTTGGGTTTGGTTAAATGGCAATTTTGTCCAGCAGGGGGAAAAAGACAACCACCCAAAACAGTAATCATAGAAGCATCTGTTTTCCAAACTAGTGAATGGACTGTTGGGAGCACAAACAGTTTAAGAATAGTATGCCTTTTCCTCCCCGAATTGGAATAGACTGAGATTTGTGAGATTGTCAATATATGTGAAATTACCGATGCTAAAATACTAGGGTGGGTTGATCACAGGACGCTACAATATATATATTTTAAAATTTTTATTTATGCAGGGCCCTTCCTGGTGGTGCAACAGATTAAAGCACAGCACTATGAAGCTATGGTAGCCACTGCAGCACGAGTTGGATGCCTGGCCAGGAGGTGACCCACATGGCACACACAGTAGACCTCTCCTGACCTGCCTGTGGCTCCCCTCTGCAATGTATTTCAGTACATCTACCTGGTCTGCTCCCCACTCTGTCTCTTCTCCCCACCATACTGCTGGCCTGCATCCCAATTCTTGTATGCATAAATAGACAAATCTTTAAAAAAAGAAAAAAAAAGCTTAAAAAAAATGGCAGCTGTATCTGAGGCAGGGTTTCTCAGGGGCCTTCTCCAACTTTGGCCTCAGTAGGCTGAGATTTTAGCTGTTCTTCCTTCTTACATGAATGACTATCTTAGACATTCCAGGTTTTACCATTCCGTCCTTTCCAGGTCTTGATTCCTTTTCAAATTCTAGGAGATTTCTAATTATTCTAGGACTGAAAGAAGGATGTGGAGAAGGAAACCTCTGGGAGGAACCTGGGCCCTCCACAACCTGCTCCACTACATTGGGACAATCAATAGATGGAAACTGTGGGATCCTCAGAACCTCAGCGAGACCACCAAGGCTGAACCCCCAAGTGTTCCGTTCCCCCCCCAAACAAGCCCTCTACCTTGGCTCTCTCTTACATAGGGCTTTGGTTTCCCCACTCTTCATTGGCTGGCGTGTAGGCTTTTTCCTCTAAAGGAGGAGGTGGGCCAGGGGCCGAGTCTCCTGCTCACAGCCACTTGCCACCATTTTCTCCCCTGGATGAGCCATGTGTCACCCGGTACAGGTCCTCCCTTCCTTGTACTGAAGTTCCACTCCTGGTGGTGGATAAAAATCCCAACAGAGAGTGAGGTCCCACAGATGATGTCCACATGACATCAGCAGTAAGGCCCATAGGACCCAGGGGTAGATGAGACTAGTTGGTGATGGTGCGCCTTATTCAAGTTCCACTGTCAAGCTGCCAGACTGAACACTTACTTGAAAAGTCTGAAAATGGATAGTTTTCTAGTGTGGATTTTTATGGAAGTGTGACATTGTAATAAATAAATGCACCCCTTCTGTGATCTCAGGCCTGACTGGTTTGTCCTCTAGGCAGGTTAAACCACGAACAGACAAACCTGGCTAAGAGAGTAGGTGATTCTGGACCTTTGTTGCCCTGAACTTCTGAGTCTGTTAGGCCTTAAATACCTTAAACACAGAGGCAGCAGAATGCCCCAGAGGACTTGTTAGGATGAGGACTGCTGTGCCCCTCAGATGCAGCAGGTCTGAGAACTCTCTAGCAAATTTGTAGGCACAATGCTGCTGCTACGGGTCTAAATCAGCGACCCTCAACATCAGCTACATGCTGCAATTGGACAGAGAGCTTAAATAAATACACCTGTGCTGGGATTCCACCCAACTCTATCAAATCAAAATCTCGAAGGAGCTGGGGGCCTGGGGGTTAGGTCAAGGACTGGTATGTTTTCAGTGTTTTTTCCCCAACCCAGGAGATTCTGATGTATAGTGAAGGTTGAGGTCACTGATACAGGTCATCGAAGTTCATGTGGGAGGAGGGTGCTGCCATGTGGGGTCTTTCATATATCCTGCCATAGGGTTCTTCTGCCAGGTGTCACCAGGCATCACCCAGCTGGAGGGAAGACTGTTCCCTCCGAGGGAAGTCTGGAGCTAGAAGGTTCTTCTGTACCTACACCCGAGTCTGATTCCCACAGCTTTCTCCAAATCCTAGTAAGCCAGTTCTGCAGTGATGACCAAGACCAGTTGGGCTCCCCTCTCCCTTTTCCAACTAAAGCATCCTCACTTTCTCTGCCTAAGGTTTTCAGCCAAACTGCCCAGATCAGATGTGGCTCTTCTGAGTCTGGAGCTTGGACATGTCCTGTGGGAGGGGAGATTCAGGACCTGGAGGGTTCTACCTCCAAAATACAGAAATTTCTGAGTTTTTCATTTTCTGACATTACACCTTAACAGGATTTAAGTGCATAATTGGATGGATTTTAAATTAGTTTTACGTTCAGAGAAAAATCAGGGTTGGGTTTTCTTTTCCTTCTTGACAGTTTTTCCATGGTGCTATAACAATGCACATATGAACCCATAACTGGCTGTCCATAGATATATGCTCCAAATTTAAATGGCTACTACGATGAAATATTTAGATAGCTAAACACATATTGAATTAGAAAGCGGAAAGGATACTGTTATGCAGCAATTGATGTGACCATGAAAAAGGAAGATAGAGACCACTTCGAGAGGCTACCAGGGAATACAGTCAAGGGTATGAGATGCCCTCCTTTCCTCTCCACCACCAAGGATATTGCTGCATGGCATGCCCTTCCCCTGGGTGCTAACTGGCTTTGTGGTCAAACAGTGGGTGCTAAGATGCAAGTTTGGGGTGCAGTGTTGGTGGGGAGAAGGTAGAGGCCGTGTTAACTTCAGTCTGCCGCAGGAGCTGGCTACCCTGGGGCAGTGGGTGGGCAGTGGCTGGCTACCCTGGGGTGGGGGGGGCTGAAGTGCACAGGCCTCCCAGTGTTGGCCAGGCTCACCTGTGTGGGGTTAAGTCCTGTCCCTTCCGGCCAAATATTTCATTAAGGAAGTGTAGTGGGGACTGTGCTATGCTGAGTCTAGGGGTCTTGAATGAACGCTACAGATAGAGGTTTTGCAGGCACCATCCCTACCCCAGACACGGGAATACAAATCCAGATATGCTGGGACATGAGGGTGGAGTTAAGCACCATGTTTAATATAAAATCAGACGTGAGCTTTGGGGGTCTCTTGGCCTCTTGGATTGTGGCTTGTTTCTTGGCTTTCAGCATGCAATTTGGATTCCAGGTCAGTGAAACTGGTAGGACACATTAACCAACTTATCTCTCTCTCTCTTTCCCTGAGTTTTTCATTTCCCTTTCTCTTGTAAATAAACCCATCATTAAACTTTAACCTGCAGTTGAATCTTATAAGAACCTGTAAGTGCATGGGTGGGGACCCACAACCAGGTGACCCAATGTACAAAGGTAAAAACCCCAATGGGGTATACGTCTTTAATTTGGGGAATCCCAGCAAGAAGCCCAAAGGCCAGGAGTCAGAAGAAGTCATTAGAAGTTTGGTAGTTCAGCAGAAGAAAAGGGCTCCCATCATAGCTTCGAAAGTGAATAGATCAGTGGGGAGAACAGTCCGAGTGGGGCGGGGTCTTGCCATTCTTCCACCAGCAGGCTTCTAGCTCCGTGGTGCTTCCACGGGGACAGGATGGTTCCAGGGGGCCTGGTGAGCAGCAAAGAAGGCTAAGCTGG